TTAGTTTAATTCATGAAGACTAAAAAAATAACGGAAAAAAATTTAAAATTGTCAGAAGTGGGATTCAAACCCACCCCCCCAAAAAAATTGGACTGCGTCGCGCAGCTTTTTGAGTGCTCGGCCATCCTGACGAAGGTAAAAAGAGTCCTCTATAATTTAATTCATGAGAACTATAAAAAATGACAGAATAAAATATCATTGTCAGAAGTGGGATTCGAACCCACGCTAGGGGACTGCGACCTGAACGGAGCACCTTAGACCGCTCGGCCATCCTGCAAAAAGGTAAACTTTTAAAATTTAGTTTATGAGAACTAAAAAAAATAACTTACAAGGATAACATTGTTAAAAGGGGGATTCAAACCCCCACGCCCACAAATGGGGGTCTGAACGCAGTTTTTAATCTGGGCCATCCTGACGCAAGGTAAAGAGTCCTCTATAATTTAATTCATGAGAACTATAAAAAATGACAGAATAAAATATCATTGTCGGGTGATTCAACCCACCCCCAGCTGATTGCGACCTGAACGGAGCACCTTAGACCGCTCGGCCATCCTGCAACAAGTTAAAGCTTTCCTTAAAAAATTTAGTTTATGAGAACTATAAAAAGTAACTTAAAAGGATAACATTGTCAGAAGTGAGATTCTAACCCACGCCCACACAAGTGGAATGCGATCTGAACGCAGCTTCTTAGAGTGCTCGGCCATCCTGACGCAAGGTAAAGAGTCCTCTATAATTTATTTCATGAGAACTATAAAATTGACAGAATCAAAATATCTTGTCAGAAGTGGGATTCGAACCCACGCCCACGCTAGGGGACTGCGACCTGAACGGAGCACCTTAGACCGCTCGGCCATCCTGCAACAAGGTAAAGCTTTCCCTAAAATTTAGTTTATGAGAACTAAAAAAAAAATAACTTACAAGGATAACATTGTCAGAAGTGGGATTCTAACCCACGCCCACACAAGTGGACTGCGATCTGAACGCAGCTTCTTAGAGTGCTCGGCCATCCTGACGCAAGGTAAAGAGTCCTCTATAATTTAATTCATGAGAACTATAAAATGACAGAATAAAATATCATTGTCAGAAGTGGGATTCGAACCCACGCCCACGCTAGGGGACTGCGACCTGAACGGAGCACCTTAGACCGCTCGGCCATTCTGCTACAACCTAAAGCTTTCCCTAAAATTTAGTTTATGAGAACTATAAGAAAAATAACTTAAAAGGATAAGGAGCAACTATAAAAAATGACAGAATTCCAAATAAAAAATATTTTATTTATCCAACACTGAAATTATTCTCAAAGTCTTGAAACATATTATTTAATTACTTTTGAATTGTGTCTGTTCCTCTATTTCCTCTTTTTTTGTGTCCATATTTTCCAACTCTTTTAGTTTAATTACCATTATTTCTACCAATATATATATAGACTCTTTATCATTTTGTTTCAAAGCTTGAGTTAATTTGTTGTTGTTAAATATTACGTTTAATCCGTAAGGAAACATAGCGTTATAAACACCAATGTAAACATTTTCGTAACATATTTTTTTTTAATCTTATTTGGAACATTCTTAATATTCAACACAGCACCTTCAAAACCATGTTAATTAAAATGCTGTATCTCTATACTACCTATGCTTTTGTTGACATGTGTTTTCTAGTGTCTGATCAATGATGATTAATTCTTAGGTTCATAGTTCCTTATTCTTGTCTTACATACTTAAAGCCGCGGACACCGCATGCAAAACTTATATATACAGTTGATTGTTTTACAGAACTTTAATTCTGATTCTATGTTGTTCTGTTCATGTCGCCTCATGGGACAGATTTTGCATCTTTTATCCCCACATTTTTATTTAGATTTCAATTTTAAGTGATCCGAATCACTATGAAACCTGTTATCAAACTTTTCCTCACATTTAAAATAATTACTTTTTGATTCATAATTCCTAATATATATATATATATATATATAATTGAAACAATTGAAAAATTGAATAAATATATATATATATATATATATATATATATGTAGGAAATAGTAATTAATTGGTTTCGAATAATTAGAATGTTTTGAATTTTCAATATATTTCGAGAGAGAGATATGTAAGAATGCGACCCCAAACAAACTGAAGTGAATCGAGAGGCTTTTTAATGCCCAATGAAAGAATTGGAGCGAAGACGTCGACCATATGGTCCCTGAGGCGAGATCGTTTGTTCACCCCACACCGGACACGAACGAAGTAGGGTCGACGCCCTTTTAGCGACTTTGCCTTTGCAAGCAACGCAGACCCCTTCTTAAGGCCTAGCGATGTTTATCGCCCCCGTCTCACAGGTGAATCCTGCTCTCTGTTTGAACTATCTTTTATTTATCTTCTTGTAAATAATTCAAAGCTGTAAATAGCCTGTTCCTTATCTTAATAAATTAATTGTTCTTTAAACTTGGCTTATGCTTTCTTTCGTCCAAAATTTATCATTACCCCTAGACACCGTCCCACATATATATATATAGGGAGAGTGTGAACTAAAAGCAGGAATTGAGATAACGGGTTATAGAAATAAGTTGAATTTATTGATATGTAAATGAAATGTAAAATAATAATAATAATAATATAGTAATAATATTTTGAGGACTTTAAGAACACAGTTTGAGTTGGAAATTTCTTTTTAAAATCCAAGGATATGGACGGAGATATTCTGTTAACTTAATGCCTTGTAAGGATTTTGAAATAGATGCAGAAGTAAAATTATTAAAATAAAAGTAAAACGTAGCGTTATGGCCAATATTCAACAAAAATTGCTTAACATTTTTTGCGTATGAAAAACTAAAAATAATCATGTAAAATTCACAAAACGATTTCCTTTTTGAAAAAAAAGTAAAGAAAAGAAGAAGCCTAAAACAGTTTCAAAGCTCTGAATATTGTATTTTCAAAGAGTATAATTTGGATATATCTTCTTCAACATAAATAAGAATGCTACAAAATTCAATATGATAAAATATATTTACGTAGTTTAACAAGTTTTATTCTTGAATTCATCAAAAGAGAAATTTCACGTCAATGCAGAAGTTTTCTTATGGGAAATTGTAGAAATGTGTTACATTTTTTATCGGGTTGGTTTCTCATAAATATGTATTACCTGTATAAGAAAATAAACATCTATAAATTCACCTCGGTGCATGAGATTCGAATTCTATCCCGGAAACAATTTTCAAAAACTGAAAATAAATTTTTTCCAAGAAATAATTTGTTTCCTACTAAAAAATATGTATCTTTTCCATACTATCCAGAGACAGAACCTTTCATGTTAAAAAATATCACCCAAATAAAGCAATATATTGAAATGAGTGAATAGAACTTGAATATTTTTCAGAAAATATTCGATTGAGTTTCTGGCCAATGAATTCAGTTCACTTCAAAAATCTAGTTTTGTGAGTAAGTAAATGTCGTCAAAGTTGTCAATGCTCTCAATCTCTTCAAAGAATGTCATTTTAGTATAAAATAAATAGTCAATGCGGAAGTATATTTCTCGTTTTTTGTTTTCTCTGTGTAACATGCATCGCTTCTTTTGTGAGGTTTTTCTTTTATGTAACTCTTCCTTATATTCAATTACTATTGCATAAAATTTATATCTAACTTATTTTGTGTTGGTTTGAGGCGAATGAACAATTTTTTCTGGCAGAAGGATAACTGTGTGATTAGCCCCCACGCGTTTTTTTTTCACCTCTACCCTCGCATTCATTCTACCGGGAGTACACGCTGATCGGATGCTGTGTGCAGTGGTGAAACCTTTTATGCTGTGTGCCGTTTTCGTAACTGTTTTTTCAATAAATGTGCTGTCCAGAAAGCTGTGAGAAAATAATTTCACAAAAAGAACAATATTTTGGATAGCTGAATTTGCTCTGAATGGTTTTGTTAAAGGGGAATGTTATGATTTATAAAAAAAAAAATATCTCTGATTTAATGGTTTTGGAAATTTTTTGCTTGTAGCCTTTGTATAAATATTGCGTAAAACAGTTTTTCAAAACTGAAAACCGCTAACCAAATTTTTTACATAAAAATTTTTAAAATTTTTTAAAGGGGTATTTGAAATGTTCATTTTCCCTTTTAAACCCCTTAAAACACTCATAAAATTTTATCCAAAAGTACTTCAAAATATGAATATGAAAAGTTAGTATGGGTTTTCAGCTAACATGCTAGATAATCGGAATACATCCTTTTTGGTGAATGCTTATTGAAAACTCCCTAAGAAATGCATAAATTCTAATGAGAATATATATATATATATAAAAAAAATTTTTTAAATAATAAAATAATTTTGCGTTTTGATTAAAAAAATCTATCCCAAATTTGAAAGGTATGATAGTAAAAAGAAAAAAATTCGAAGAGAGTTTGGCCAATAAAAAAAAAAAGTTTTGTTTTTGAAAAAGAAAATAAACTAGTTATTATTTTTTTTTTTTTGGAAAATCACTTTAAACTTTTATTTAACCAATGTAAAATGTTCAGGTGGAATCTTCCTCGTTTTAAGCTGGGGCTTAAATTTATTGAGCTGAATTTTTTTCTATGAAAGTTTAGTTTGGAAAATGCATGTTTTGGCCATTTATATTCCGATATCGCAATTAGTTAAAAATATAATTAAAAAGAAATATGTTCGGGTGGAATCTTGGAACTCAATTTTAAGCTGACCCCCAAACCCCGATTCAGCTAAAAGTATACATTTTTTTTGGGATGACAATGCTTTTTGTTTTAACTAATACTCCGATATCGCAATTAAAAAAGATATTCAAAATGAAATTTTGTTGGGGTGGAATCTTGCAACTAATTTTGAAGCGGGTTTTTAAAATTTAAATTTTTATACAAATTTGTTTGGACGGGGGTTGATGTTTTGATTTTTTTTTTCCGGTATCGCAATTAGTTAAAAAGATATTAATTTTAAAAAAAATTTCTCATGTTAGAAGCTTACTTTAACTCTTTCTGAGAGCCCTTGTAGCCTAGTGGTTAGAGAGGCTGACTTCAATTGAATTGCCTCGGGTTTGATTTCTGTGAGCTCGTAGTTTTAAATTTATCTTTAAAACCTTTAATTTTTCCCTTTGAAAAAATTTTTTCTTTTGATCAAATTTAAATTTTACGTTCTTTTCTGTTTTTACCTTTTTCTTAATTATTAATGTTCGGGTGGAATCTAGCAAATTTTGAACCGTGTCAACCGTTTAGCGAATATTTTTAAATTTTGTTTTAACTTTAGTTTTTTAAAAGCCCGGGTATCGCAATAGTTATAAATATATTAATTAAAACCCTTTCCCCCGCTGCCCAGCATCTTATGGTTGACTTAAAGAAGTTCCATTTGACCTTTTTAAAAAACCCCTCTTATTCCTTCTATCAAACTGAGACAAAAATAATTACGTAATCGTAAAAGATATTTATTTCGTCACAATACGGTTAAATTTTTTAAAAAAAATGACTTTTTTTTTTTTGATTTTTTTTTAAAATGCATTTTTTATGAAAATGATTTCTTAATCATTCCGTATGAATTTTTTTTTTTTTTTCGTTTTGAATCGATATTTGGCACTAAGAAAGTTCTGACTTTTTTTCTTTTTAAAAAAGTCATTTTAAAAAAAAAATACCGAAAATTTTTTTTGAAAAATACTCAAATTTTTTTTAAAACATTTAAAAACTTCGTTATTTTTAAAAAATAATCGCATGAAACTTCTTTTTCGTTTGTAGTATCCAAAAATTTTGCGAAAAATTTAAAATATTGGTTTAAAATTAAGATTTAAAAATTGTTTTCTTTTTTAAAATAGTATTATAGTAAAGCAAAAAAAAAAATGTTTTTAAAAATTTGATTAATTTTGCTTTTTCAATTTGTT